TTTACCAATTTTGAGTTGATTTTTATGTATGGTATGAGATAGTGGTCTACTTTATTCTTTTGCATGTGGTTATCCAATTTTCCCAACTCCATTTATTGACAAGACTTTCCTTGATCCAGTGTCTATTCTTGGTTCCCTCAACATAGATTAACTGTCCATATAGAGGTGCATTTTATTTCTGGAATCTTAATTACATTGGTTTCTGTGGTTTTTTTTGTTCCAGTACTGTGCTGTCTTAATTATAAGGCTATAATCTAGCTTGAAGTCTGGAAGTACAATACTGCCATTCTTCTTGGCCAGGATTGCTTTATTTGGGGTTTCATATGAATTTCAGTAATGTTTGTTCTATTTTTTTGAAGACTGCCAAAGGAATTCTGATAGGAAGTTTTCAGCTATTTCCTCAAATAATATTTCCACCTCTTCCTGTTTCTCCCCTCTTTTTAGAATCCCTAAGATGCAAATGTTATCCCATAAGACTCTTAAATAGAAAATACAATACATATAGGTTATTTTTTTAACCCCTTTATTGGTCTGTTTAGGTACTTTTCACCACCCCGTTCCAGGACTGAGCCTGTCTGCAGTTTCATCTTGTCCCCCCAATGTATTTTTTTTTTAGTTCAATTATTGCCTCCTCTATAATCTGTTTGGAAATCTGCCCATGTTTCTCTTTGTTGTACTTTTCATTTTGTATATCTGATCCTAATTTCAGTGAGCATTACTAGGCTGTTAGTTTAATTCTGTTGCAACAGGATTTTTACCCCAGGATTTTGTCTTGATCCACCATTTGGGGTATATTCCTCTGTCTCCTCATATGGTTTGTACTCTGGGTTTATTTCTGTGGATTAGGCTAAAAAACTTTCTTATCCCTGATGAATAGGTATTAGAATTAAAGGTTGCAGAATACAGGTTATGGTATTGGCCCAAGGTGATGGGTTTTCTGTTGCTGTAAAGCCCGTCCTTGACTAGAACTCAAGAGCCAACGCAGAGTGTGGTGAACCCAACCTACAGGGTGGGAGGTGAGAAGTACAGAGGTTGGTGCAGGAAAGCACTGCTCTACCTGGATACTGTAGCTACTTAAGCCAAAGAAGGAGGGGTCTGCAACCCCAGTCAGTTCATAGACAGCTTTTGCTCTAAGCACGACCTGAAACTGACCCTTCAACTGTAACCCGCTTCTGATCTGCACACACTGTTGGCCTAGAGGAACAGAGAAGAGCAAAGCATTAAGGGGGCTTTGGGTTCAGATATTGCAGGCAAGTGCTATGGATGAATGCAGCCCCATTAGCAGCAAAGGTGGCCTAGGTGGTGGGGTGTTTTGTGAGAATTGGCTGTGGAAAACCCCAAGAGAGCTTGACCATGGATGTACCTTATAAGCTCAGTGTTTTCCTCAAAGGCTTGGGTTCCAGTAGTGGAAATAACTGACTGGCAGTTTCAAGAGCCACTGATGGCAGAGGAGTGGGGTGGTTCATCCTTCAACCTGGCTCCTTAATTCATTTCAATCACTGATATCTCCCAGTGCCAACAGACAAAATATTCTGGCGAAGATGCCCATCAACTCTACATTCACAGGGTAACTGTCCCTCGTTAATTTCCCAACTGAGATTTAAATTTCAACAAATACAAATCCTTCAATTAGATCTGTGCACCTTTCATTCATCTTGTCCCTTTGTGCTCAGTCCTGGGGCCTCTGCTCCCCAGAGCCCAACTTGCTTTCCAAAGGAAAGTCCCTCCATTTGGACACATGCAGCCCCCTTGCTGGTGCAGTTCCGAGATACTGGGACACGCAGCTGGGGAGTAAGCTTCCAAGTCCCTAGGAAAAGACTGAGTAACGAAACCCTCCCAATCTCGGGAATCCACCCAAGAGCATTCTCGTGAGACAGTGGCTCAGGCTTTTCTAACCTTTCTAATGGTTTCTGTTGCTTTTCCTTGTGGAGACATGATCCTCTCTTCTCAAAGGCAGTGACTCCTCCAAAGATGTAGATTTATCACTTTTCGGCCTTTTAGCTAAGATCAAATGTAAAGATGTAGACTTATTGTGGGAAGGAAGTGAGTCTAGGATTTTGCTAGTTTGCCATCTGCATTTTAGGATATTTAGTAGCACTGCTGGCCTTAATCTGTCAACTGAAATGTCCTCTTGTGGGCAAAATTGCCCCTTGTTGAGAAATTCTGCTCTAAAGACAGAGTTCTTGTTTTTTAAAAATGTATACTGAAGATGAAGAACATTAAGAAATGTAAAATTTCTTGAAATTCAATAGGAGTTATTTGTACTTTCAAACAATACAAAATCCTGGCAAATTACCAGCTTTGGTGCTAAGCAGACGTTGTATACTTGTTAGGAGCCTTAATATTGATGATGCAAATAAGTACTATTTTGCACAATTTAAGAAATGGAAAATTGAGGTGTTATGACAGTGTAAGAATTATATTTGCCTATAAGATGTAGTACTCTGTCCTCTCTGGAGATATTAAAAACTACACGGACAGAGTAAACTCAATGCCAACTTTTTATACCTGGGAAAGACAAGATGACCGGTTAGGGAATTGTGCCCTCATTTTCATATCTCCATCTCAGGCTATTAATATCCCAAGTTGACTGCTAACTCTTCATATTTGCATTTAAATGGAACATAAAAGTCTGACAGAGGTGGCTTACTGAAAACAATCTTATTTTTTAGCCTTTCAGTATTTTGATGCTGTTGTGTATGAACTAGTTATGGAAAATGGAATCTATTTTGTTACATAGTTAATACCCCCTCTATAGAGGCAATTGCTCTACTTTTATAGGACCACTGTCTCATCTGTAGTATAAGGTCAGTGTTGAACTTAAGAGAGATAGCTTCTGTGAGAATGAAGTTCCTCATGGAAGCATGTCACAGCTCCACAAATGAATTTATTCTATGTGCATAGATTCATTAAAGACATAAAATATTTTATGCAATGCAAATCACATAGACTTGGATTTATAAAGGAAACTTTATACATTTGAGACTTTGAGATTCTCAAGTGACATATGACTAAAAAAAAATACAGCCAAGTATCATGATAGCTTGGGGAACTGTATTATGTTATTACAATTTTTCAAAGTGCTAAATAAAATGTCACTACCTTTGAGGATTTAGCCAGAGCAAACTTAAAAATCCCAGCACACTTTACCAAAATGCCCTCTCTGACTACACAGAAACAGAGTGGGTGCCACTATGGCAAGAGACTACGGAACTCATTCTTTCCTGAACATCATTATCTTGTGCTCGTGGTCTTATTTTATGTGTATGAATCAACACAATACTTCTGAAATGCAATGTGACTACAAGAAATGTGATGAAAGAATTTTTATCATTTTGGGATCTATGACCCTAGCTTATTGGGAACGCGAAGATTTTTATGTCAGAGGATAGGGTGATATGTGTGAAATGGGTCTGTGAGGAAAGGACTATGGAATTACCTTAAAGTAGGGAGGATTTGCTTAGCAAATACACTTGGGATTACAAAGATTGAAAGCTTTCTGATGGCTTAGTAGAGTAGCTGATAGAAATGATAGGCATATTAGCCTCCTTCCTCTACCAACAAATGATGTCATGACCTTCCACTGTCCTGGGTATATGAGCATATTGAGGTCATTTATCCTTGTCATCTTGGTATCACGAACAAGGGCAAGGTAATTGAAATTAATGCTAATTTTGAAATTATAATTTCAACTAGATAATCAGGAATTAATTTAACTTAGTGTAATACTGAGAATTTGATATAATGTCAGCTGAAATATTTATTAGATGTTATAAAATAGATAGCTCATGCATACTCAGAACACAACCTCTTTTAATCTCAGTGATCGAAGACAAATTGGAACTCAAGTATTTTGTAATTCACAATACTCAGACAGAAACCAGATGATAATCCATTCAAGAGTTGTTATATACCTCTTAGAGGGCCAAAAGCTTCAATAGCAACCAGAACTAAAGAGTTACCACATTCCAATATGTCTAACTCTAATAATGCCAGAATGGCCTGATTTTGTTTCTTAATTTTCATTCAAGAAATAGCTCCAGAACCAGCTGGATGTGTCAGTAATGATCAGGGTCAACAAAAATAGACCTGACCCTGACTTCACAGCTCTCCCTTACACAGAAAGTGCTCAGCAAATAAGCATACCAATTCACATAAAATGCAACCATAGTAAGTGCTTGGATGTATAGGGTACATGAGCCCAATCAGAGAAAGATTCCCTAAAGAAATAATGGTTAACTAGAGTAGCAAAGGATGGATGCCCATTCCATGAAGGACACAGGACTAGCTGATGTCTGGTGCAGAACAAATGAATGGAAGGTGACTTGCCAGGCTATTTTGGGCCAAACAAGTAGAGGCAGCATAGGAAGATCTGGGGTGAGCTAGTTTATAAGATTGCCATCATTTTTATGAAATGCATCATTGTATAGAGAACAGACAGGAAGGGAACAAGAGTGGCAGCAACTCAGTAGCCCATAGTAGACAGGAGATACAAAGGGGGACTGGACGGGGGTTGTAGTTCAATGAGACAAAATCATGGAAAGACTTGGAAGTAACAATTTTAAGAACAAAATAAAGAACTGGGTAGAATTTGAAAGAGGAGGGACCATTTGGAGAGGAAACTGTTGACTTGAATTGGTCTTCTACCATTAAATCTCCTTGCAGACAGTAAGGATTTCCATCTTAATCATTTTTATGTGGATTCTTGCCACGCTGTTTTTATGTTAGTCTAGCTTCTCTAAAGCCTGTAAGGTGAGCTCATGAAGGAGCTGAAATGATTTAGCAGCCCCACCTAAAATGAGTTCGCCCACCATTGCTTTGAAAAGCTTTCTTCCCAGCATCACCCTTTATATCAGAACTTTCAAAGACCACAGTCATAGGATGGCACTGCCCAAGCAGGATTATCAATATAACGTTCTTTTGATACACCTTCTTTTGATGGCAGGGATAAAATCAATAAGGTGCTCATATTGTGATAGTTGTGTTTTGTCTATACTTGCCTTTGTAGTTTTGACTTTATTGCCACTGCTACAGGACCAACCTGAGTAATCTGGCAACACTTTACAATCCTCTCCTTCCAAACAAGGATTCATGTGACACCACCATTTCTGAATCACAATGGAGGCTGAAAAACAAAGGTCAAATGAGACTTGTGACATGATTTCTTCTCCACATAGGCACAACATAAAGCTCAATACTTAGTACACTGACTTCAAAAATAGCTAAGAATTATTTCACCATATATGAATTTAAAGAATCCAATTAACTATACTTATAAAATGTTTTGTAGAAGCCCTACCTGGGTTTGAACTGCCCACACTAATTTTTTTAAGGACCTTCAACTAGCTGTTGAACTCCTCTCATTCTGTTTCTTCATCTGAAAACAGGAATAAAAAAGTAAAATGGGATAAAAAGAGAACCTTAGCCCAGGATGTCAAAAGGACAAAATGAATCCATTTGGATGCCCCGGCTGATTGGAGTCAGTGTTCTTAAAAAATTTTAGCTATTACAGATGGTTCCTAAATTTCTATGGTTTGACTTGTAACTTCTTGACATTATAATTCAAAAGCAATTTGCATTCAATAGAAACCATACTTTAAATTTTTACCTTGGCTGAGCTAGTGATGCTGGGTGGTAGCAGCTCCCAGTCAACCAGGCAATCCCAAGTGTAAACAACCATTCTGTTTTTCATTTTCAGCACAGTATTCAATGCTTATTATGAAATAGGCTTTGTAATTAGATGATTTTGCCCAACTGTATGTGTTCTGAGCAAATTTAAGGTAGGTTAGGCATATTAAATGAACTTTCAAATTATGCTTCATATTATGGATTTAGCAGAATGTAATCCATGATAAGCTGAAGATCTGTTTTGTGGTCATCCTCTTTAGTTGTTACAGGTAATAATGACGGTAAACATTTCTATTACATCCAGCAGCTGATGCTGACCCCTTGGAAGTCCATTGCCCGACGCCAGATGAAGAAAGGGGGAGGACCTGGCCCTCTCTCAGAAACCTGACAACTTAGCTCACTTTGCATTCCTGTCCTCCTTACCTCACCATCCCTGAAGCAGTTCATCAATAAATTGCTTTGTATTTTAAGCCCCCTAAGCAGAAACCAGCATTCCTGTTCTCTGGGCCTGAAGGCAGATGAGGAGAAGTGGAGGAAACACCATTCACTTGCCTGGTGAGTCCCATTGATGTAGCAAGTCAGAGTCAGTCACTGGGCTGGTATAGAATAGAGCTGCGTGGTTGGAACGTATAGTTTAGCTCTGGTTTTCTTGAAATAGCAACAGTTTGATAGACTATATTTCCACAAGAAACTTAAACATCAAGTGCAAGCAAATCTCTATGAATGGTAATAGTTACTTTTTGAGTACTGAGCATCCTGCTAATAACTGTCTTCCTTGCATTCCCTAAATTCAATCTTACTGAGACCTTGAGGTTAAACATTACTATTTGCCTGCATTTTATAGACAATAGAAAACCAAGGCATTAAATAACTCACCCAAAGGCAGTCTGAAAATGGTCAGGGAGCAGGCATTTGGATGGAGGCAGCCCAATGCTAGGGTCCACACTCTAACCCTAAAATATACACCTCCTTCCCTAAACCATCAATCTCTTGTAGAAACAACTCCTTGGATGGAAATAACAATAAAAGTAGGTAACAAAGCAAGCCAGTGCATTTCAAACACTCCTGTCAGGCAAATGCAACGTGGCATGATGAAGACACAGGATGGTTTCATTATCAACTGAGGAGATCAAATATGTGCCTTCTCTATGTGGGGCCACTGTTACTGATTCTAGTCAAACACTGAGCTACTGTCTGGTTATTTCCATCAAAACCAATAGTTCCTGAGTGAGACAAGTTTGTGATCCAGGATAACCACTTGCTATTTAAATTAGAAGTGCCAACACTGAGAAAGGAATATAGCCAAATGGGTAATTAATTTTGTCAGAGACTGCCCCTGCACATGAGTGGATGGATATTAGGGCCAAGTCTGAGAGAGTTATATATGTTTTGTCATTTTCAAAACTCTATCTACTTTTACTCTTTTGATTGTCCCAACAGCCTTTAAAAGCAGGAAGGCAGATGATTCCTGAAACAAAAACTAGAATTTTCTACAAAAATTAGGGAAGTGAGGGAAGAGGTATTAAAATCTAGATTTTTGTCTTGATCTAGCAGGTGCTAAAACCAACCACAATTTACAGCGATAGTTTGGGTGCTATGTAGAATTTGGCAATATTCACAGCGCTGGGCAGTCCTTCATGACTTTCTAAATGGGTTGGTCCCAAGTGGTTACACAGATAAGAGATTCCAACCCTTTTTAAAAAAATACCATCTGCAGGATTGGAAAAGTTATACAAATGTTGACAGGGTTTCTTTATATTTACACAGAATTGAAACTGAATCTAAAATGCTTTTTTTAATCTTTAAAACTGTTCCTTAGACAAACTATCTTCTACTCACGGTGGGAGCTGATGGACTCAGAGGTATCAGCGCTACATGGAAAATTCAAAAGAAGCCTTGGCAGATGGTGAGTAGTCTGTCCAACTTAAGGCAGAAAGACAGTGAGTGGCATTCCTGAGTCAGTAGACATGCACGGCTGAAGTGGGGTGAGGGGGCCACAAGAAGGACTAAGCTGAGAGAGCCCCCCAAAATAGCTTCCCATTCATTCTCAACGAATTCAAGATTAGACTTCTCTGTGGAGTAGGGAGCCATGGTAGGTTTCTGAGCAATACCGTGTGTAATGACTCAGGGAAACTTTTGTGTCTACAAGAACTGACCTATCATGAGATGAAAGGATTGGGGACAGAAATGAGCCTAAAAGAAGACCAAGTGAGGTAAGAAATCTGGGAATAAATTCCCTGCAAAGGAAATAGAATGAATTAGATGGTCTCAGCTTCATACCAGTATTTCCTAACTGGATTCATAGGAACCCAAGATAATTCAAATGCTTAAAGCCAGAAAAGCAGCTTCGGAGGGAAATGATGGATTCACGCATTCATCATACCAAAAATATTATAATCCTTAGTTTAAGGACTTCAATTATGTAAATAAAAAAGGAAGACTATACAGTTAAGCTCTTATAAAATTATTTGTTTTAAGTGGAAGATACATAATGCTTTTGTAAAGACGGCTTCTTTAATAGGCTCCTGAGAATAGCAAGCTGCCTTGGAATTTAAAATATTTGCAAAAATCATTTTCCTCTTTATATAATACATAGATTGAGGTGCCCCTGTAAGTAGATACTTGATCTCCACACCAATAAAAGCTACCAGAGGAGCCAAAACATAGATTCCAAATTCTTTTTGAGTTAAAATTGGCTAAGTAAGGTAAGGGTTTGACCTGAAAGTGAGTAAATAAGGTGACTGAGCAGCCAGAAAGTTCAAGCTCGGAGTTCATAGTCACACTAAACACTGAAGCAAAGGATCCAGAAGTAGGATTCCACTAAAATAACCCTTGACAACATCTGCCCACTTAACTGAGCCTGATGCACAGGAAAATTGAGTTTGTAGGAGGCATGTGTTTTTCCCTGTTACAAAAACATATTTTAAATGAGAAAGTGGAATGCCACTGCTGTTTTTAAAACAAAATTATTTTAAAAGCCCCATACCTTTCTGGCTTATAAAAACACACAATCTGCCAACCTGCAATGAATTTCCAGTTTACGTAGAAAGGAAAAGAAAAAAAAAAAAAGACAGCGAAGTCTTGGTTTGGTTGTAGCAGCTGGTACTTTGTGTTTCCTAGGTGAAAATTTAAAATGACTAATTAGCTATTTTGCTTCTGATGCATTTCCTTTAACTCTGTTGAATAAAGTAGATTGAATTTTTTTCTACCCCTTTTAAAAATAAGCATCACTCCATTCAGTGAAACACAATATGTATTAGTCTAGCTATTTAAATAAGCCCAACCTTTGAATAAGAGTAATTACAGGTTCACATTTCAAGACTTTTTTTTTTTTAAAGAAAGATTTATGCATAGAAGAACTGGAGTGAAGGCCGGGGATGAGAGGATTCACCAGAGACACAGTGGGGAGCAGAACAAGTGGACTCACTGAAATACACTGCCAAGGGGAGCAGTGGGTGAGACAGGAGAGGTCTGCTGTGACATACGTGGGTTAGCTCCCAGGCTAGGGATTGAACTCAGGACATAGGGGTGATAGCACTGATTGGTACTCTCATTTGTTGACTCAGTTGTTTCTGGAAAAGGTATGTTTGTACACTGAAACTATGGACAGAAGAGTAAAATCACATCTTCCTAGAAAATGGACACAGTAACAGAATATGGATTTTACCTTTAGTGTGTTCTTACCATTGTTAACCCTGTTCTTTAAGTCATTCATTAACTTTTACATAGGTAAATGGAAAGCCTTGCTAATTTGTATTTCTTGCTGTTTCAAGAACAGAAGTCTGACACATGAAACAGGACTACAAAGCAATCTTTTTACCTGTTTACACATTCCACAAATAGCAATGTATCAATATTTCCACAGACTACTAAAAGGGTAGTGGATGAAGAGTGTAGACTGATTTTTTTGTGATCTAGCCTTTTCTTCCTAGCTAAATGTCACCTCACACAGGAATATCCAATAACATGGGGACCTCAAGACAGGGTTTCTGGACCTTAGCACTGTTGACATTTTGGGCACTGGAAGGTATTTAGCAATACCCCTGACTTTTACCTGCTATAGGACACGAAGCCTGCCAGCAAAAAAACAAGGTATCTCCAGCCATTGTCAACTGTCCCCAAAAGGGCAAAATCACTCCATATCCACAATCTATGGTTATGTAGAAGTACTCAGTCCAAAATGAGAGTCTCTGCTACCTCATCAGACCTAATCAAAACTTCAGCTTGCAAAAATAATCCTAATTCATGGCAACCTCCATGGCACCTCTATACCATATCTTTCTTCCTGCTTGCAGCAGGGGTGGTGGGGACAGTTTCAAAAGCATGAAGCTTGCATCTCTCACACATACCTACAGGGTTCACTATAAAACCTATGCTGACATTCTCCTAGAACACAAATTCCTGGGAGGTAAAAATTAAAACCTAAAATTTTATTTGATCTAAGGCCTTTGCTTACCTCTTCAACTTTCTCTTCCAGGGTTTCCAAGCCAGAAGGTGCTACTCCAGGTGTGCCCCACTGGTCAGGTGCTTTATGCTACTTTCCTCCTACCTGGTAATGGGGTCAGACCCATTTTCTCAGCTCTTAGATTCTAATTACCACCCTTACCCTTTTACCAAGGGCATGCCAGACACAAAGGTGCTCAATTAAAACTTGACGAATGAACCGGCCTATGCTAGGTACTTGCCGGTCTCCCAAAGTGCATCTTGCTGTCATTCACCCAGCAGCCACTGAGGAAAACTCAGGAAGCTGCTCTTTTAGGTGAAAAGAGAACACATCATGTAAGAAAACCTTCTGAAAAGACATCTAAAAGAGAGCCTGTACCCCAGCACACATCCATAAAGCCAAGAAGACTGTCCTCAGGACAAACCGTATTTCTTGTCTAAGAAATCCTGACATTCCAGAAAAGTAGAAGAAAAAAAAGGATTTTACGATGTATCTGCCTCACATTCGTAAGCTTTTGGCTTATTAATCTCTTTTATACCCAATCTTTGTAGAAAGCATTCACTTTAACAAAATAAATGTGTAGTACAATGAAACTTAATTTATCTCTATTCAGCACTGTGTTTATAGAACTGCATCTTGATAAATGTAGAATACAGTTCCCACCACAAAAACAGCCTAATGTGCCAGTAGAAAATTCAAAAGGAAGAATGCTTACCAGCTAAAAAGTTGTCTTAGAACCCAAGTAACCATGGCTTCAAAGAACTAATTCCCCATGCCTCCTCTCAAATCCTAAATGTGTGTTAAAGACACATTTATGAATTCAGGGGGATTTCATAAATTAATTATAACAAAACCTGATGGGGGAGAAAAGCAGCTAAATTCTCCCTGTTTAACCAATGCATAAAGATATTCCAATTTCTATATCAACATTAATTAGTGCCTCATGCCAACATCATCTTGTCTTTGTTTTAATTTAAATGTAAATTCAAGTGAATTTTATAGTTTAGATCCTCTCTATCCTTATTGACAAATAAGAGGAACATATTAGCAGAGACTAGGTCTTCTCACATGCCAATTAATAGCATGAAACTGCATAATTACTATGGGATAAAGATTAAGGAGGTAAAGCTAAAAGCCCCAATGGAAACGCACTCAGATACAGAATAGCAGATCATCGGGATTTGAAAATAGACGTACATCTTAACTAGAGACTAAAAGACAACTTCTGTACCTCCTCAGTGATTTTTATACAATATATATTTACTAAACACCAACATTTTGCCAGGAAAGGTGAGGTGCAGGGGATAACAAATATGAAGACATAACCCAATCCCATCTTTCAGTTTGTTATTCTCTGGTGACCAAAGTAGCACTAAAGTTACATATTTAAATAAGCCTTATCCTGCACCATCAAATACAAATGTTTCTAGAGACAAGTTCCTATTTAAATTCACACTAGTCTCAAATGCTCAATAGCCACATTTGATTAGTGGCTACCTGTAATATTGGACATATGTAAAATGTAGAGAAAGAATATTTGATCATTGCTGACAGTTCTATGTAAAACTTTGCTCAAATGATAAACAGCTGGTCTCCATCACTTACTGATTCTGAGGGTAAAGCGATCAGTTAACCAGAGAGTCTGTTTGGCAATAGACACAACCAGAGTGCCCTTTAGTAGAGGAGTAGCTGAATACATGACCTAACCATACCATGGAATGATTACAAATAAAAGCAAGTTAGAAAAATATGCACTACTTATTGAAGACCTTCACAACCTGATATTTGTAGGCTGGATTAAGAAATAGCCAATGTTGGTGTCACTAATACTTGGAATATAAAGTAACAAAGTCAAAGAGAGACGAGCTGAAAAACTAATCCTTGACTGCTGACTACAGACCTAAGAAACCGAAAGAGAAAGAACAGGGAGGGAGGGGAGGCATGGTGGTGGTGGAGTTTGGTTGAGTTGGTGGATGCACTGTGGTGGTAATAGCTGCCCCAATGTTACCAGTTAAAAATAAATTTAAAGGGCCTCCCTGGTGGTGCAAGGGGTTAAGACGCAACCTATGAAGCTGTTTGCAGCCACTGCAGCGTGAGTTCGATCCCCAGCCAGGGAGTTTCCCACATGGTGCAGCAGACCTCTCCTGTCTTGCCCACTGCTCCTCAGCAGTGTATTTCAGTCAGTCTGCCTGTTCTGCTCCCCAGTCTATGTCTGGTAGATCCTCTCCCCCGCCCCCACCTCTGGCCTATATCCCAGGTCTTGTATGCATAAATAATAAATCTTTAAAAAATAAATTTAAAAATGGGATGCCTTTTGTATAAAACACAGAATCTATTGAACAGATAGATGTACTTATTCCTATGGGGATGGCCAAAAGGGATTTTGCGCATGTATAAAATTTTAATACAAGCTAGTTTAGTGAAAAATTACTACTTCTGATGCTACCAGTAACTGCTATTAAAAAAAAAAAAAAACAGGCCCCTTATGTCATAGAACCAAAACTTACTTTAATTAGGTTCAGCTCTTCTAATTAAACCAGTTGATATCACCTGATCAGCACTAGTGGGGTAATCTGCCTGAAAGACCCCTGTCATTCCAAAGGAAAATAACCTTGTTATAACCAGCCCCCTTTTTTTGCCTAAATTCCTTTTCCCTGCTCTTTTCTACCCATGAAAATCTTTCATTTTGTACCCACCGTCAGAACTCTTTTCTCTCTGCTAGATTTGCAATTGCCTGATCAAATTTTTTTCAAATAAAAAATTTTCATATGCCTCAGTTTATATTTTAACACTAGCCTATCCATACTTCTGGGTACTGATAAAAGTGCTTTGAGTTGTAAAATATTTTAGTTATAAGCCCAAAAAATTCTAGGTGAGAATATAGATACAGTTTAGGTCATAATTCATTACTTCTTATACAAGAACTTTAAATTCTATTGAAGTTAACAGTTACGGGGAAAAAAATGTATGATTAACAAAGATCAGTCAATCATTTATGCACCATCACTGGGGACAGAGTTAATTAAGAGGCCCAGTTTCTGACATCAAGCAACTTACAGACTAACTGGAAGTTGTTATTCAAGTTTTTACAATAAAATGGGGTGCATGTCATGATGAACTGGGAAACATAAGAACATTAGGAGATTGGAAAAGTGAGTGCAAATTAAGTAGAAAAAAAGGTGTGTTGCAGGGAGGAGGACAATGATTCAGGCAGAGTATCTAGATAAACAGTTGCAGAGATGAAAGGACTCCCATTTGTCTGGGACTGAGAAAAAAAGTTAGAGTGAGATTTTTGCAGGATTTCATAAGCCATGGCAAAGAATATGGATGTTATTTTTAAGGTAGGGGAGGACATTGAAGTGTGGTTTTATGTATGGGAGTGACACAATAGTTCTGTTTTTGTGCAAGGATCATTCTGACTACCAGGTTAAAAAATGGAAGGAGTATTAAACTTCATAGATGTAACATTGGTCCCTAGACTGTGGAGGTAACAGTGGGGTTGAGAAAAGGGCACTGACTGAGAGCTGGGAGACTGGATGGGAATGATTGGGATTCAACTGATGGAGAAAATACACTAAACTGTCCCAGCTGAGGGAATAGGAACTTAGCACATTTCCTTAAATGTCTTTTTTTTTTCCTAACGTTAAAGATTTTCTTCTTCTTTCATAGGTCCACAATCTTTTATCTATAATCCCAAATCTAAAAAGCTCTAAAAATGGGATTCCTATAAAATGGCAGCAAAACCTGACTTGAATTAACATGAGGTTCTTCACTCTGCCTTATCTCATGCTGCATGAATATTTATATATTTCACTGTAGCAACAGTGTTATCTGTGATTATGGGGTACAAATGGATTAGATATTTGTCAGGTAATAATTGATATATACACTTACGTTACTTTTATAAAATCTGATAAAATTTGAGTTCAAAACATTTGGCCCCTAGAGTTTCTAATGAGAAACTGTAGATGGGAAATTTTCTACTTTCGGGCTTTAAAAATAAAAGCCTGAGAAAGAGGTAGTTGAGATGATGCTGATAAACACCACTGAAAACATTTATCTGTGTTCGGTAGAGGATGTGAAGAAGTCAATTATTGTTTGTTCAAGAAGCAAGAATATCTGGAGTTAACGGTGTGAGTGTGTGTGTGTGTGTGTGTGTGTATGTGTGTTTTAACTGCTGACCTTTAGACATGCATCAGATCAGACTGGAAATGTTCATTTTCAGGGAGGTTTCTCACCACAGTAGAGAAACTGCTACAAGGCTTAACCTCATGTATCTGTTCCCCTGGGGACTGAAACTTGTTTCTAACAAGATATCTGCTGGAAGGAGTCAGGGACATCAAAAGGAATCAATCCCAGGCCCTCACCTACAGCCATCCACAGTCGCTCATTTTTTAAAACTTTAACTATTGGCACACTACTCCACTAGATGTAGAGACAACAAATGTATGATACATGATTCCCAAGAAGATAAATATCTGTTAAAAAATATGCTAAATATAAAGAGAACATTAGTCTGTAACATTAAACATGAAGTGAGGAAACTAGGCTGCTGCTTTTCTTTGAATACAGAATTTGACAGCAGCCAAAAGATCCTGTTCAGGGAAACAACTGATTTGATAGGAGAAATTGGAGACAACTGGACGTGGAGGAATTAAAGCACATCTTCTTGATTGTCCAGGACTAGAATTCCCCATGGCTGCCTCTTTAGCAATATCATTAAAACTTACCTTTATTTATCAAGAAATTTGGAGAGTTACAGAATGTTCACTCTAGGAATGATCCTGACCTTGAATCAGTGACCTCTGAGTTGCAAAGACAGTAAAGTCAGGGAGATTCTGTGTAGTTTAAGGTCTTTTGCAATATTAGAGAAACTGACCAGAGAGGTCCTACCTTCAACACAAGAAGGCTGAGCCCGAGTCGTGCCGGCCACCTGTCCCGGGAAGCAGGAACACTTGACCGTCTGTGATCGCTCTTCTATGCGGTTCTTGTTACAGCACCTGTGCACAGCGACCACCTCACATGTCCCTTGCTTGATTTGGTGGTGACCTGGCAGGCAGAGAGGGAGAAAAGCAGACCCACTGCTGTTAGGAGAAAATAAAGCCAACCAGAACATGAACAATTCCATATTTACATTTTCTGACTTCCTGTTCTATGAATCCTCATAACTTTTTATTTTGATGTCATTTCAAATTTATATAAAAGAGGCAAGAATAGTGCCACAACCTTGTATGAAAATGTGGTAAACAGAAATTTGGCCCCCAGGACCTTTGAGCCATGGTTCAAACCTGTGATTTTATAAATGTAATTAAGATTATTAATAGGTTGATTTTAAGAGAAAGAAAGAGAGAGCGCATGATCCCTTTGTTATGCAAGTGAGGGCTGATGTGATCACTTGAGCCCTTAAGCAGAGAGATGAAGAAGGGAAGGATCTAAGAAATTAAAGTGTAAGGAGGACTCTAAGCACCATAACTGGCTTGAAGATGGAGGAGACAAAGTAAAAGAAATGGAGACCTCAAACCTACAACACAAGAGGTGTGTAGTAACCTGCATCTGAGGAGGTGTGAACCTAGTCCCCTAAATTATAGTGCTGTAAACCAATGTTGCCTCAGTAAGCAAAATAAAACTTTTAAATAAAAATTTCTGTGTTAAGCACATACTGTAGCTTCTCCAGATCTAGCATATCTAGTATGTAGTAGGAATCAGAAGAGTTGATGTTGATGGGGAATGAAGAGTAAATATAAAGAGTCGAGAGGGAATAATCTGGGTGATGGATGTTTCCCTATCTTGACTGGCTACATGGATGTATATATTAAAACACTGAACTCTGCACCTAAGATAGCTACATTTCACTCAATAAATTTCATTGTGTTGAAAGATGAAAAATAGCTTTGTATAATTGTAATATTCATTTGTCCAAGTTTCAATTGAGTATCTTTCTACCACTCAATGACTTCTTAATGGCTCTACTCATATTTACAATATTGGAAAATTGAAGGGAAAAAAAAAAGCCTACAACTACAAGAACCTATATTCTGCCGATAATGTGAATGCTTGGAAGGGGATCCTGCCTCCAAACAGGAATTCAGTCCTGCTGACACCTTGGTTTATGGTCAATGGTGAGACCCTGAGAAAAGAATATGGTCACACTGTGCCCCAGACTTTTCTGGTAATTTGTCATACAGCAATAGCAAACTAAAGCAAAACCTCTCACCCAGATTCACTAATTGATAACCTAACCTGTAACCCCATTTGCTTTATCATCTACACTTTCACATAGTTTTCTGAGCTGTTTGAAAATAAGTTGCAGACATGATACTCTTTACCCCTAAATACTTCAGGATATATTCCTAAAACAAAGACATTCTCTTACACTGTTATAAAAATAAGAAGAGTTGACATGGATACAATTATATCAACATATCTTCTCTTAAAATTCTTATTAATTACAAGGGGAAAAACAGTGCTATTACAAATGGTGACCGTGGCAGGTGCTGCTTTAAACATGTGATTATATAACCTACCATCTATATATATCACCTACTATCTATATTCAAGTTTTTTTAATTATCCCAATAACATCCTTTACAGCATTTTCTCCCTGCTTACAATTCAATGAAGGCACCAGCAAAACAATTCATTGTCATGTCTCTTTACCCTACTTTAATCAGAAACTATTCCTTAGCCTCTATCTTTCTTGATCTTGACAAATTGTAAGAGTACATGCCAGTTATTTTGTAGAATATCAGTTTGCTTTTATCTGATGTTTGCTCTTTGTTAGACTCAGGTGATGCAATTTTAGCAGAATACCCCAGAAGAAACACTATGTTCTCAGTACATCAGGTAGGAGGCACATAACATGCATCTGCCCCATTATTGGTCCTATTGCCTTTAATCACTCTTGTAAAGTGGTGCCTGCCAAGTTCACCATTTGTAATAGTACTGTTTTCCCCTTGCAATTAATAAAGAATTTTAAGAGAAGATATATTGAGACTATGTAAATAACCTAGTCTTCATCAAACATTTACCTGTTACTTTTTAGCATCCATTAATGATTTTACCTAATGTTTGACAGTTGAGAAACTCATTCTGTATAAATATTGAAACTGTCTCAAATGTAGGCAGAAGGAGACCCTTCTAACTGGCAGCTGTGTCACTTTGACAAATACCCATTCTTCATGAGCTCTTACTAATATTTAGGCTCAGAAGATGTGCTAGGTGTACCTTGTATTTTCCCGACTATCATCATTCCTCTCCAAGGAGTCCTGATTATTTTTAGAGGGCATCAGATTTAGAAAACAAGACCTTGACAGATTTACTCATTGCCAGAGGGAGTGATCTGGGACCTTTTCACTGGAAAGATCTAGGAAGAGAAAGAGAGGTGGAGGGAAGGAAGGAGGGGATTAAGGGCACGCACGCGTGCGTGCGTGCATGTGTATGTGTGTGTACACAGCATGAATTCACATCGGTATCGCCAATTCCAGCCCAGCTCAACAGGTTGGGCAACTCTCCACCATTCTACATTTGTTATCTCCCATCACCAACAGTGAGAAATCTGTTCCACAGTCCTAAAACAAAGTAATTTAAGTTTAATTTACATTGGAATCTGGTTTATCAGTTAGGAAGCTTTTGTTATAACAATAAAAATTGATCTGAGCTAATTTAATGCAAAAAGAATTTACTGGAAGATAATCAGGAGAGTGCAGAAACAAGGGAGAATTTAGCCGAAAGTAAGTGGAACGCTTCTCAGGACTGGTCCCAGGTGAGTCATTCTTTGAGTCCGTCCTTCTGTACAAGGACATGTCAGCAGCGCCAGCCAACCTCTAAGATGGCCCCCAATCATCCCTGCTTCCTAGTACCCACACTTTTTTGCATTCCCTTCTCTCAGTACTGGGATTTGTCCTTATGACCAATCGCATGCAGCAGAAGGGATGGTATGTCACTTTGAAGATTAAGTGGCCACACTGTTCCTCCACTCACTCACTCTGGATGAATAATGGCATGCGCATCCCTACAGCCAAGTCTATGTGACAAAGAACTGAAGTCTCCTGCCAACAGCCCCATAAGTGATATTGCAAGCAGACTCCCTTCTAGGTCAGGCCAGCACTGGCCTGTGTGACAACAGCATACAGCAGGAGAAGTGATGGTGAGTCACTTCCACCATTAGGATATAAAAGACAGTTTCCACGTCACCCACTCTAGGGCAAACCACATTGCCTGCAGCTTTATAGAGAAGCCCTAGTGTCCAGAGACAGATGTCTCCTGCCACTGGTTATGTGAGTGAGTTCAGAAGCGACTTCTTCAACCCCAGACCCGTCTTCACAGACTGTAGCCCCAGCCAACAGCTTAATTTCTTTCCCACAAAAGACCTTAAGGCAAGACCAGCAGCTAAATCACCATGGGATTCCTGATGTCAGAGGCTGGTGGGCAGTAATATATGATGACTGTTTTAAGTTGCTAAGATTTGGGATCATTTGTTACACAGCAGTTGATAATTAACACATCCCTGCTGGCTACACTAGAGTAGAAAGACTTCCTTTGTTCTGATAAAAACAATGTAAACAAGATTGAGGAGGCAATGTTTAGGAATTATTAATGAAAGATAACCTTTTCGAGCACCCTCCTGACTTTCAGATCATCCGTGTACATATAAATTGTGGTGTGAATATAAGCAATCTCGTCTAATCATTAAAAGTCTTCCCCAAAGATTCACATATGTTAATTCTTTGCTTGGATTCTGTGGTTTGGTGCATGTACTTCGAAAACAACAAAATTAGAAGTATTTCATAATTTGGACTTTTGAACCCATGACAGACCGTCCACAAAATAACTTGTATATTATTATGAATTTTTTCTCTCTCTTGTCACCATCTTAAGTGTTGGTGAAAGCAAAATTTCATTATTGACAAGAACAAATATTAAGGCAAAGTTCATTTGTAAAACACATGAAGGCAGAGCCAGTACTCAGAGACTCAAACTATGAACACCCAAGTTTGTATCTGCTACACAAGGAACCATAGATATGAAAGAAGTGATTAAAACCTAAGTGATTAAGCCTAATTAAATATTGACAAAAGAATGGTGATATTCCATAGGTAGTTATGTATAACTGGATCCCCACTTTCTGGGTGCCTCAGGGCAAGGTGGCTTTCTTGGGGGTGGGGGTGGGGGCTGAGGCACACCAGTCTCAGCCCACTGCCTGAGAATGTTGCCCCTCCCCCAGCCCCATCAAGGCTAGCTGTAGTCATGCAGCTGCAGGCCAGAAACAGGCCCACCAGCTTGCCCTGACCTGAGTGTAGGCCAGGCTAGGCCTTTCTCCCTTTTATATTTAGTTCTAGGATTCAAAAATGGACAAAGCAAGTGTGAGCTAAATGCAACAATCAGGTTGAAGCTTACTTTGTTGTTTGGATTGCAAACTAGAAAATGAGCTGACTAGTGCTAAATGGTCCAATCAAATGCTTAGGATTGAAAACAGCCGAATCAAGCTTGTAGGGTGGGAATGCTGAAAGGGATATGAATCAGAGCAAGAGTCAATTTGGCCACCAAAGAGAGGAGGAGGAAGACCATTGGACTGCCTTTGAAAAGAAGGATTCCATTCCCAGTCTCTGAAGAGAGAGACGCATCAATCAGTCAGCCTCTGTGGGATTCACCAGAACTTTGCAGACTTTGGAAATCCTTATAGTCCTTCTACACTTTATAGATTTCAAGACCTCTACAGCTTGTAGACCTTTACAGAGACTTAGCTGTTGCAACTTCCTCCAGCCCTGCCTCTGACATGACCTGCAAGGAGCACTGTCTGCTTGGCCCAGCATCTCAGAGAGCTGACAACTGCCTCTGGTTCTCTGACACCACCTCCTGGTGCTACTGAGTCTGTCCTGCCTGGTCCTGCGTTTGGCCCAGCCTTCAGACTACTGCTGCAGGCTGCTGCAATATCATCGAGTCTTCCACAAGCAGCCTTTATTTGGGACTTGTGGACATTATCTGGGGTGAGACAGCTAGCCAATCGTGGCCTTAGCAACTCTCCTTTCCCCCATGTTCTGTTTGTTAAA